CTATGAGTAGTTATCAGAGCACCTCAGTAAGCCTGCGTAAAACCTGTACTTTAAGAGTTGTACTGGTTACCAATTGTCTTCCAAGTGCAATTCAAGGCATTGATTACCATCTATAAAGCCTTTAATAACTTCAGGCCGGGTTATTTTCAAAACAGGTTTCTCCAATTGTCTTTTTCCATTCTATAAAATCAGATGAGGCAGCATATTCTCCTTGCTACTAACCAAGGAGAGAAGCAACCTAGAACTAAGGAAGAACTTCCTGATAGTTAGAACAATTAACCAGTGAAACAACCTGCCTCCAGAAGCAGTGAATGCTCCAACACTGGAAGTTTTTAAGAAGAAATTGGACAGCCATTTGTCCGAAATGGTATAGGGTTACCTGCCTGAGCAGCGGGTTGGACTAGATGACCTCCAAGGTCCCTTCAAACTTTACTACTACTACTACTACTATTACTACTACTACTACTACTATTACTACTACTACTACTACTACTACTATTATTATTATTATTATTATTATTATTATTATTATTATTATTATTATTATGGATCATCGCACGGTCAGCCAGATGTTCAGACTGGATTTGGCATTTTGTCTACCTATCGAGTCCTTACCCAGGACCTGGGATAGGCAAATGTGGATGTTTGATGGTATTACAGATATCGTCGCAGGATGGAAACAGTATCTAGTAAGGCCGCCTTTTGCAATTGACTAATAGCAAATTTGTCAATGCCAATGGTGTTCAAGTGGTGCTCCAGTTGTTTTGGGATTGCACCCAAGGCGCCTATGACTATTGGTACTACCCTTGCTAGCTTTTGCCACAGTCTTTCTATTTCTATTTGTAGGTCTTTGTATTTTGTTATCTTCTCCAGTTCTTTCTCGTCTATTCTGCTGTCTCCAGGCACTGCCACATCCACTATCCAGACTTTTTTGTCTTTCTTATCGACAATTGTTAAGTCTGGGATGTTATGTTGCAGGTGCTTGTCTGTTTGAATTCTAAAGTTCCAGAGCAGTTTAATTTTATCATTTTCTATGACTTTCTCTATTTTATGATCCCACCAGTTTTTGTTTACAGGCAAATGATATTTTTTGCAGATCTTCAAATGCACCATTGTTGCTACTTTGTCATGCTGCTGCTTGTAGTCAGTCTGTGCAATCTTCTTGCAACAGCTTACCAAGTGGTCCACTGTTTCTTCAGCTTCTTTGCATAGGCGGCACTTACTGTCTGTTGCTGTCTTCTCAATTTTGACTTTGTATGTATTTGTCCTTAAGGTTTGGTCTTGTGCAGCCAGAATTAGTCCCTTGGTCTCTTTCTTCAATTTTCCTGCTCTTAGCCATTGCCAGGTCTTGTTATTATCTGCTTTCCCAGCTATTTTTTTCACATATTGGCCATGTTGGCCAAATCTTTTGCTGGATTTTTCATTATTAGGTAGGTTTTCCCAGTTGTTAGCCACTTTTCAATTTCTCCTCCTTGTAATATATTATTGAACTGCTTGGCAACGAGTGGGTGTATAACAGTTAGATGTTTCAACCAAAACCTATGCAGTTCATCTTCACCTGGTAAAGAAATGCCATCTTAGGGGTTTGAGACACTTGCTTTCTCTTTTGATGCTCCTGCTCTCCGCCATGCCATTCCCCGGAAAGTTAATACAGTCCTGACTCTGCTGTCTTTAAAGGGCTGAAGAAGCTGGTTCTTCCAATAGGTAATGGCTGGCTGATTTGTAACCCATTGGATTACATGATTTTCTAATTTCTAATTTGTAACCCACTGGGTTACATGACTTTCTAATTTCTTTTAATATATCCTGGGAAGTTCTTTTGTTGTAATATTGTGTTTTTACCCTCTTCATACACCACTTAAATTATCATGATGGTTAGGTAGTCTTAAAGATTCATTAAATACACTTCTTCAGGATTTCATTTTAAAAACTGAAGTGGAATTACATAAATTCTGAAGAGAAACACCTTTTCAGAAAACCCCTATTAGATTGTAAGCCAGCTTTCCATAGGCGAGCCTGGGAGCCAGAGAATGCAATGTTGCTGGTATGTTTAACAGCACTTGAGGTCACCACAGACACTGATGACTTCTAAAATAATAATTATCTTTCAGCAATAATTAACGTATTTTAATATGTAATTTAATATTTTTCCTGAGGTTCTCCAAGGATAAATTGCAGAGATAGGGCAAACAATAACGCACAAATATGTATGCTAACTGCCCAGGGCAAAGCAACTGCTGAGAACATTTAGAGGAAAAATAAGGCCTATGTATTAAAATTATAGATTTGTTGAATTAAGATCATAATAGCAATTCTGGATACACTGGAGACATGTTGAGATGTAGCTAATGCAATTTAAAATCAAGGGAATTTTTACATTAACTCAGATGTGGAATATATGCTGCCATATTAAAAATATAATACAGAACAGCAATTAATAGCAATCAAAACAAAACACTACCCCCCAAAAAAGATTTAAATTGTTAAGCTTAAGGAATAAAACATATACCCTGAACTGATTCATATTCTCTTGAAAGGTAGGATAAAAAAATCTCTATATAATTTAATATAAATAAGACATATTTTTCTCTTTTATAGTTAGGGCATGAGTTCTCAGCTAAAAACTTTCTGATCTTGTCCTGTGGAGAAGACTATGTTCCAGTCAACTCAATACAGCATACTACAATGTTCACAGGATATAGTACAATTCTGAATGTATTTATTCAGAAATAGGTTCTATACCAGTGGTGGCGAACCTATGGCCCGGTGCCAGAGGCGGCACTCAGAGCCCTCTCTGTGGCCATGCGTGCCATCACCCCAATCCTAGGCCTTCAGCTGAATTTTATAAAACCTTTTCGCTTTAGGCTCTGCCGCCATGTGCAAAAAAAAAAGAGTTTCAATCAGTCAATTTCAATTTCTTGCGGGAAAAAAAAAGATCTTTTTAGTCCTATCCAGTCTGCTGTTACCACCGCAGCCACGCCCACCCAATGGGGCACACCCAGCCAATGGGCCACACCCACCTGGCACTTGACGATGCATAAGTGGGTTTTGGGTTGCAGTTTGGGCACTCAGTCTCTAAAAGATTTGCCATCACTGTTCTATATGTACCAATATATTTTATTTTTATTACTATGTTTATGATTGTAATGTAATTAGTTATACTCAAGTTCTATTTAAAGAGAAGTTAAGTACAATTCAGTTTCTTGAAATGCCACTATTAAAATGTTAGTGTTCTCTATTTTTTAAAATCACCAAAATTGATGATTTGTATTAATGCTCTGAATTTTAAGGCATGGTTTAGGGATTTATCTTCTCTGCCCCATTAATATAGGAAACCAATCTGATTAATATATAATTGACAGGGCTTTCCTCACTGGTGGTACTTAAATTTAAAAATGCTGTTCCAATTTAAATTACTCTTCTCTTAATTTTACTGTGTTCTGAGAACATTATTTCAACAAGGTAATGTAAAAGGTTAAGTTCAATAGGATCTTATTTAGATCCACTGTTTTATTGTCTGTTTGATAATCTTGAATACTTTCACTTCATTATTAGTTATATTTTTATACCGTAATCTGAAACCCATTTGGTTTACACAGAAAAATAGATATAGTATAAACTTTTTTTTCATCCATAAATCAAAGTGTAAATAATGCAGAGAAGCTAAACATAAATCCAAAACAGTTTTCAGTTTTTAAAACTGCTTCTGAGTACTTATACCTTTTTGCTTCATACGATAATCACATTTAATTTATTTATTATTTCATTTTTCCAAGGGCGGTTTCCCAATAGCTTATATTATTTCTTTTCTTAATGTTGTTTGTATATAACTAGAGTAGGTTTAATTTAATTGCCTCTTACTTTGCCTCTGTGTACCTTTTAATGGCATTTTTTGTGTTACTTTTTTTTTCTTACCCAGTTTTAGCCAATAGCTTTATCCACATTCTAGCCATTTGAAAGAGCTCCTCTTGATGTCAGTGGAGCAATTGTGAAACAAATGCTGAGAAAACAGGCCCATTGTCTGATCCTGAGTGAACATGTACAATAAAAGCTTAATCTGAAAATAAAACAAAAGTGCAAAATATTGCTGGTACAATACCATGCATACTGTATTTATTTAAAATGATATGGTATTCAATATAGCTTATTTCTGGGGAATATGCCAAAGTCACTTGTAAAATCTGTATAAGACTGTTTGATTACTGTAAATCTAACATCCATTTCTTTCATGGTATCCAAGCCTCACTAGGACCCAGAATAGCAGAAAATTATTTAGAACTGTGAAAAAATAATGTCTGTTGGCCTTGGCTATCATTATCAGAAGCCCAATATTCAATTAAAAAAAGACTACTGTACGGTTAAGAACTAGTTTGCTAAAATCCTTTTGTTCCCTCCCTATTTTTCTTCTTCTTCTTTTTTTTTTTTTGGTGGTGGTGGTGGAAAGCAAGTTATCATGAAACAAAATGGGCAAACAAAGGGTTTTAGGTAGCAAATACATTTATTTATTATTTACCATTCTTAACTGCCCATCTCCCGGTCAAAAACTACCTTTACATATTAGGTAGAGGATTAGTTTAGCAATCTTCTATGTGGCATCGTTGCTTTCCTTAATGATAAAATTTAACATAGGTTAATGATAAAAAGTTAATAGTCTCAATCCTATGTATCATCCATAGTGTTCGGAGTTGATACTTTTCTATCAGCCGCCATACAATAGAGAGCTGTGTACTGTACTAATTGGCTTGTAGAGAAAAGTTAATGAAGAATCTTGAATAAGTTGAATTGTTTAAAATGATTTACATTTAAATTATTCATAGCTTGAGAACTGATTTAGTTTATTAGCTTCAGAGTGAATAAATAAGGAGAGAAACAACTGGACATGTAGTCAGGATGAATTGTTGTATTCTGAAATTTTAACTACCTTATCTTATATACTACTTGTTCAATTGATGGAGAATGACCCAGCTCAAAAGCTATGTGGCAATAAAACATATACTGACCTGGAAAAAGATTGGGGAATGTGGGTAATATTTTCTCTAAGAGATGAGAAAACAACAAACAATAAGCAATATGCACTTTCCAAATGGAACAAGCAGCAGTTAAGAGCTTCCAGACTGAAATTACTTTGATTCAAAAGAACACTTCTTCTACTCCAAAGATCTAAATGTGTGACACCAAACACTGGAATGAGGCTCATTTGAAGATGACACAAAACACAATACAATGTATAGTAAGCAAAGAGAGTTAAGAGACAATGAGCTCATTAATTAAGTCATTTTATAAACATCCTAATTTTGTAACTGTAGTGGAATTGATACTGCTAATGTATATTGTGACATTGCTGAAAGGTAATTACTAAAGAAATCCTTTATACATTACTCCAGTGCATATGCCAGGGTTAAAGAAATTATGAGAACATTTTCCATTGTGAAAATTGATTTTCATGATATATCTGTTTTTGTCATTATATTTTTGTCTCTCTATCAGAAGTCTTTCAGGTAATCAATTCTTTCAGATATAATCAACAATATTTTGATTAATCATTCATTGTTATATTCATTAATGTTACAGTACAGTACAGTACAGTACAATGTTACAGTACTATCTAACTAGCTTCGGCCCATTTGACCAAGTTACCATTTTGAGAGTTCCTAGATGAGGCCTTTATTGACCAATTATTCTGTCTCAAGAATGTTATGCATGACTTAGACATCCATTCTCCCATGTTTTATCAACATTTCTTCATCTTTCTTCTTAATATGCATTTTCTATGAAGGACGAAAGGATGAAACTATTGCATAATATTTTTTTTTCATGAAGTTAAGAAACATCTGTCTGAGAGGAGCCTTTGTTTCTTTTTGCATGAAGAAATAATTTTATAAAAGCACCACTGGAGAGTTAGTTACATGAATGACTCTTGGGAAGACAGCATATTCATGCACAATTAACTCAGCTTGATTTTCTTCATAATTATGAATCACATAGAATTCGGGGTTTCTACTTAAAAAAAGTAGGAAACTAATATTCGGAAAGAGCAAAATCTCATCTAGAATTCAGAGAAATGACAAGGTAGCATATATTCCAAAAGAGATTAATTATATGTGCCCATGAACATTATGCTGACTATAGGCAATGTTGCTTTACTCAACATAATATTACTGGACAATACAATTTGACTTTAACACTAATCTCCCTGTTTTAGTTAGCTTTTTCCAGTATGTTGCTCTCCACATATATTGGACTAGAATATTTTAAATAAGTTGTTTGCTAATTCTGGGATTTTTCCTTTATATATATATGGAGGCATCAAACAGAAGGTTGCCATGTACTTTGACATGCTTCCTTTTCACAAATGTAAGTTTAGTGGCACAAAGCTCCCCCAGATATTTATGGCGCCTTTTGTACAATGCCATCAGCCTCCTTTCCTGATGAAGTCAAATGTAGTATTACCAATGTCATAAAGCTTGTGAAACACAATTCTCCAAGATACATGAGTGTACAGTATAATGCCAGTGGCCTGGATACCTATGATTATCCAATTCCTGACACTTGGGCTATTGTTATGATACAGTTCTGAGTGCTATGAAGGGGTATCTATAACAAAGAGCCTTCTAGAGATGCTTTCCTTAAGCATTCTGCTGACCGCAGAAAACTATCAAGAGCTACAATACTTGTCCTAGTGATTAGATGCATTTTCCAGGATGAGAATCAGAACCTTAAATTGTCAATCACTGGGAACAGTTAGGAAGAGAGCCATAATCCATATGCTGTCTCACAGGGATTTTCAATATGCATACTTTGCCCCTGTAGAAAATATAACACTGTACTAAAACTAAACTGGTCTGATCCATTAAGATTGTTTTTATGTTCCACTATGAGGTAAGTGTTGGTTAAGACAAAGAGTAGGGTGGGGCAGTGGTAAGAGTAAACAGACATTTGGAAAGATATAAGTTTAACTCATTTTAACAGAAAGTTTTGAAACTCATTACATTCTCCTCTATATCTTACCAGTCATACTGTGTACTTGTATGAAATATGTAGGATATAGCTGTAGCTAGAATTTGTAAACTCCAGGAAAGAAGGAGAATTGCTTGTAAAGATATGTCAGAACTTCCCACAGGATTTTAAAGAGGCCAACCAGTTATTATTTACTTATAAACTTGCTCAACACCCAATGGTGATTCAAAACTTCCTAGGTAGAGCACTCTGTATTATTGCAACCAGGCTTGCTGGAAAGTCCATAAACAAATCAGGAAACAGAAGGTCAAGTACATACCTGGGAATAATGACAGATTTCCCTGCACTAACTGCCTTGATGCGAGTGTTTTACCACTCAGCAGGTGAAAGAAGATACTGCCTTTTTGCCTGGAAAATACACAGCTAGACTGAACGTTAGTGTTTATGGAGCCATGGGGGTTTATTGTTAAGGGAAAACAGTCAGCTGCAGTGATAAGATTTTCTTGTTATTTAGTGTGTTTAAATAACATAAGTCTATTTGCTTTTTTCTCACACAGTTGGCAAGTCACTTCTTCACAAGTGGTTATTCTAAAGCATTCTGGCCTCATTACTGCCTTGCTTTGTGAAAAACTACATTTCTTTTCTGCTGCCTGCTGTGGGACACCTTTCCTATTCCATTTTAGCACTGCCCTAATGATTCTAACTTATTTTGTTACTCTGTGTGACACTATACCTCTGAGTAAAATGCTTGAGGCAAGCATGGCATGGAAATTCAGAAAGTTATAGATTGTTTTTAGTTATTAAAAGAAATTAGAATGTCTGTTTTAACAGCATTCTTTTTACCTAACTTATTATATGAAAGTGTTGGTTGAACATGTCTAGAAAAAATAAACTGAAAACAGCTTAGAAATGTGTGCAGTATGGTCGAGTGACAGGCTTAGGAATGAAAGGATGCTTATTTTGAGAGGAAAGAATGGAAGACTGAAGATGAAAAATAGAGACAATGACTATGGTGAAGAACAAAGAGCTGATGAATAAACTGGCTCATTGAAACTCTCCAGACAAAGAAAGATGGAAGATCACCTGCAAGTACTCCAGAAACTTGCCCCTCACAAAGAGAATGTAAGGCAGCAGTCTCCAGTTAGTTTTGAACACTGGTTGTAATGGAATACGTGGATGACAATAGGGGATGAATGATAGAAATGCTATCTAGGAAACAGACAAGAGAGGGAGGTGTCCCCAGTGGCTTAATAGTTAGAGAAAGAAACCTAGGAAGGACCTACCCTTCAGACTTAATTTAGCTTTACAATAAAATAGAATTCATCCATCTAATTGTGTTTCCTGTCTGATTTACCAGGAAGAGCTGACATTGAAGAGGACAAAATAGCCATCTTGCTCAAACCATAGTTGATGCCTTAAAACAGGCATCAAACTCAATTTTACTGAGAGCCGCATCAGCATTATGGTTGCCCTCAAAGGGTCAGCAGGGGTGGTGGACAGTGTTTTCCCAGCAGACAGATCATGTGTTGAGATGGTATTCAGGTGGCTGGTCAGCCCTTCTTTCTCTGTTTCCTCTCTCTCTTGCACTGCCTGCTGGGCTTTTCTTCCACAGCCTCTGCTCCTTTGTGGATTCCTCTGCTTGTCTCCCTCACACTCTCTCCCTCAGGCTTGCCCCACAGAAGCCTCTCCTATCCTACCCTTTCTCTTCCTCAGGCTTGCCCCACCAACATTTCTCCTCTCCTCCCTATCTCCTTCTCTCCCCCCTCACTCCTCCTCCTTCCTGCCGAAACCCCTCCTTTTATATCCTTTCCTCCCACATGCACTCACTCACTGCCAGTTGGCCTTTTCATGCAGCGCTCATTAGCTGGAGCTACATGCACTGATTCTGGGATCCTGGCCAAGCCCTGGCAGCCCTGCAGCTTCAGATGACCCTTTCCCTAAAGACTGCATGCAGCTGCCCGACACCCCCGAGGCTGTTGGAGCTATGATCAGCTGGAGCCATGCATGTCAATCCTGGGGCCTCAGCAGAGCCCCAGCAACACTGCAGTTCCAGCTGACTCTCCCCCAGCCCTCAGCTCATCTCCCCTGCTACATACTCAATCACCTCCTCCTACTAGTCTGCTCGTGGGCCAGATCTAAACACATCATGAGCCACATCTGGCCTGTGGACCTTGAGTTTGACATGTCTGCCTTAAAAGGACACTATGTTTGCATGCTTCATTTTATAATCATATTTAGAAATTGTTTATTAACGATTTTTAGCTATTAGAAATCTTTGGATGAAGAAATCTGAAAATACTGGAAAACTGAGTGCATAATACAAAAGATCTAAAAAAATAAACATGTTGAAATGGTTTGGTCATACATTGAGCAAAAATTCAAAAAACAAATTTAAGAAAGAAGAATGAGTGGGTTAAGAGGAAGAAGAAGACCAAGAAAATAATGGATGGATGAAATTGATGAGTTCCTCAAAATATGAGTTGACAATCTTTTGCTAAAAGCAAAAAGGCAATATATGAAGTGATAAATAGATGTGACGGAAGAATGGATGATTTTTAGGTTACTTTACTTTATCTATCTTCAGTTGGTTACTATTTTAAATGAGCAGATTTCTCACAATAGACCTAAAGATATGGAGAAGGACATTGAACAGAGTTAGTGTAAACTAGAATTATTTTTCTATTTCCAAGTTGCCTAAAATCTCTAACGCTTCTTCTGAACTTTGCAAAATGTTACTTTCTAGGAAAGGGAATAATGTTGACAGGTATGTATTGTGTGTGATGGGTACATATATTAGTATTTCCTCTTTCTGACTTAATACTAGAAACGTCAGATTTAGTTTTGAAATGATGCCTTGGAACATATAACAACATAAACATAGCAACACATCTCATTTTTAAAATAGTCTGGAATTGTACAGCAACTTAAGGATACCACTCCTTCATATCTTCTGAAACAACAATTCAGCCTCCTGCATAGTTAAAGTTAGTAAATGGCTCCCCAATTGATAACAGCTGCTTTGCGTAATGCATTATTTTCCTTCTGGCTACAAAGTAAGCACCAGGATTTATTCTGATGT